AAAAAAAAAAAAACGTTCCCCAAAGTTAGACGGTAAGTCTCAAAGAATCACTTTTAACATCTTTAAACGTTAAGGGGGTGGAGGCGAAGGGACGCGACTCACATGTGCCCCGGAGTGCGGTCGGTGGATTCTGTCATATACTCCATCGTTCTGGACGCCCTGGTTTTAAAATGAGAATCGTGTGATTGAAGTCAATTTGTCTCTTTACCTTTTCACACAAATCTTCCTTCTGCCTCTCTGAATAAGCCAGCTAAGTCTCATAACGAAGCAAGTAAGAAAAGCCCATTATATTTGGTCACTTGGGGAGAAACTACTTCTTTAAAAACGAAAACCAAGCGAATACCAAGAGTTTTCTGCAAGACCCTCCTGCCACTGAGGTGAGGCGTCACCCGGGCGTTCGCAGGGCAGAGTCAGCGCGGGCCCGGGCCGCTCCGGACCCCCACCCTCACCCCTGCGGCGGCCAGGCCTCGGACTCCCGCTGCAGGAGGCCCCAGACGCTGTCACCGTCCCGCGGGCCGCCCACCCGGACCTCGCTTCCCGCGAGCGAGCCCCTCACACGGGTTCAGGGCCGGCGGCCGACACGCGGCGCGCACACGGCCAGAGGCCGGCCTAAATCCGGGGAGTCAGCCCTTCCTCTCTTCAGGGACCCCGCGCGACAGCATCCCGGGTCTCGGTCCCCACACCCTACTTAGAGCCTCTGGGCAGGGCCCCGATTTGCTGAAAAACCGCAACAAAACCAACCGTTGCCGCCGCCTGAACGGCCACCACTGCCGGCTCTAGCACGAGGAAGATCTCGCGAGAGAAGAGCTCCAAATCCCGCGGGCTAAGAGCTGAGAGTTAAAGGGGCGGAAGGGGCGGAGAAAGGGGAGGGCACAGGCGCGCGATGCGGGTGCGGGTCGGGTGGGGCCAGAGGACTGACAGCTGGGAAGGGGACTGCGCGAATGGTCTGGGGCTCCCTTATCCCTTGATGCCTGAGGCTTACACGTACTTTCCAGCTCCTCTACTGGGTTCTGTTCCTTTCTGATTTTCCCAGACCAGGGAAAAGCCATTCTCTGAAGTTGGTATTCTGTGAAATCGTTTACGTTTAACAAGATAATAAGGTGACCTGTGAGCAGGCCAGTTTCAGAATGTCAGGGGCTGCTCTTTTTTTTTTTCCCCCAATACACTTCTTCAATATCCTATTTGACTTGGCACCAAGTGCCACAATGCCAGGTTGTTAGGCACTGAATATACAACAGTGAACAACACAGACATGGTCCCTTGCCCTAAGGGAGTTTAAACGTTTTACAGATGAGGCTGATATACCAAATGATGAAGTAATGTGCTAAGAGTTCTGTAGCAAGAAAGTGGAAGAACGGGCCTGAACCAAGTTTGTCGAATTCTGTACCCATTGCCGCACCACCATACCAGGCTGCCTGCCTTTCTGAGGCTCAGACTGTCTGAATAGAATTTTTTTTTTGAAACTTTATTTTCCATCAACCTTACTTCCATTTCCTGTTTAATAAGAGTCTGTGGAAAACTGCTTAAACTCACTCAGCAGTTGTTTCTATCCATTCAGTGGCCTGAGCAGACGGAGCTGCACACCAGTTTTCAGTGGCAGCTGAGCCTTCCAGTCTTGAGGGGAAACTGCTGGATTGGCACAGAGGGCCCCTGCACACCTTCAGACGGGCCTGTGACCTCGGGTTGAGTAGCAGTAAATTCAGGTCCTGGAGCAGTCCTATTCACCATGAAATTCCTCCTTGGTTATAGCCTTTTTTAGTAGCGGCCTGCTCTTCCTTTTCAGTCTCCTCAGGGTCTCTGTAGAAGTAGAGGTCAGGCGTGGCCTCCTATGGGTATTCACGGGAGATGGTGCCACCCATATTTGGCACTTTCCAGGCCAGCATCCGCCACACCAGCCCCACAGAGTGAGCTCCCTTCTTGCTGCATGGGATGGCAATGACAGAGGACAGTCTGTGTTACAGAGCAGTGGTCAGCAAGTTAACATAAGACACCTCTGGGAGACGCTAATGATCATCCCTGGGATCGGTTCCCACCAGAAGACACTGCTCCCTCAAGGCTGCCTGGATCTGGTTAGCAGCCAGCAATAGAAGTAGCCCTGGTGACAGCAGCAAGCTTCAGCACAACTCACTGGCCAGCATTCATAGGGGGTATGACACTGACATCAACTGGGTTTTCAATGGCAAAAAGTGGCACCGCTGCCAGCAGAAGCTTCTCCCAGGTTCTTTTCAGATTTATGAGGTAACCCCATTGATTTTCCCTTTTATAGATGTACTGTTCCATTTGGAAGTCAAGGTTGGTGCCACCTAAGTAGGTGCAAGGAATTTGAGGACATCCTCCTCCTTCATTTTTGCAAGACGTGAAGAACTCCAGACATTGTGAAAGTGTCCCTTTTAATTAATACGGGGAACCCAGGACAACAAGGCCATATGGACCCCCTCTCTCTGGTTAGCACAGAAAGACCACAGGCTTTTGATAAAAGAAATACCTACATGGCAGAAAGTACCTATATCTCTCCTCCCACCTCCTTCCTGTCAAAACTAAGATCTCCAGATGTCAGGGTTAAGTGCTTGGTGTCAGATATCTCTGCCACAAGCCTAGGATGAGCTTGCTAGAATTGTACTCAGAGTAGGATAATATCGGCAAATTACACCAGACAGAAACTCATTTTGCACTTTTTATTTAATCCTCAAATCTCACTTTGGAAAATGGGTTCTCTTGTCTCATAAATCCTTACATTCAGGATATCTGTCTTTATTCAAATCTTAACTTTAGTGTGTTTTTACAAATTTAAACTTTGTGTGTTTGACCTCAGTATTAAAAATGGAATTCCTGAAAGGACTAGATGACTATGACCTTCTAGCAAGTTATAGGTTCATTTTTCTAGATTCATTATCCACAAACTCATAAAAAAAATTTTTTTTAAAAATCAGAATCCATAGGGGTGACTGGTTAGTTCATATGGTTAGAGCATGGTGGTGATAACACCAAGATTGCCTGTTCAATCTCTGCATGGACCACTGTAAACTGCGCCCTCCATAAAAGATAGCCCTCAACTGTGCCATTGTAACATGAAAGCAATGTGTAACCAATGACATGGCTGTTCCCCAATAAAATCTAAAAAAAAAAACCCTCAGAATCCATAACGTCTCTCAACCAATTAAGATAAATATAAATATTGATTTTTACCTCTTTTGTTTTACATTACACTATAACTTCTTGGAGCTAGATTGAATGAGTGTTTTAAAAGAAGTAGAGTTTTATTAATTTTAAGTATCTTCAATCAATGAAATTCTACATAACACTTTCAAATGCATAGTGTGATTTTTTTCACATTATCAAATGTGATGGCACACTTGGGATATCAAGATGTCATTAACTGGAGATTAGTGCGGGAGAGGTTTATTAGGGAGTACACTTAGAATCAACACCTGTGGAAGGGATGGGAAGGAACCGCAATTAGGTAGAGTGAGAGAAGTCATGCTGCTATGCAGCCTGATGGACCTCGTGTCTGTCAGACTGGCCATGATTAATAAATCAAAAAACAAGTGTTGGGCCGGCCGAGTGGCGCGAAGGTTAAGAACTGGCTTGGGAGGCTAGAGGGCCCCGGTTCAGATCCCACATATGAGGGCCAGTGACACTGCCCTCCACAGTTAATATGCTGAACAACAGCTCAACCTGGAGCTGGGCTGCCGTTAGTCGCCGGCTATGGCGTAGGCTGCAGCCCCTGTGGCAGTGGGTTGCCATGGGCTACTGTGTGTAGCCAGCAGCCAGCGTGAGCGGCCAGCAGCCACAGTGAGCGGCAGTCTAGAAGCCAGCGACTGATCTGCCTCGCCAGGGAAGAGTGCAATGATGGTGCCAACTTGGGCCAGTGAAGCAACGACCTCCACAACTAGACTGAAGAACAAAACGACAGCAACTTGTCTGTTCCCCTTCCCTCCAATTCCCCAGTGCTGTTCCCATCCCCCCAGTTCCCCAATAAAAAATCTTAAAAAAAAAAACTATGAAAA